AGCTGAAGAATGGAAATCCACAAAACTACCCGAGCTTCTTGAAAAATTTCCAGCAAATGATATCTATAATGCTGATAAAACCGGGTTGTACTACAGGGCTGCACCGGACGGCTCCTTAAGTTACAAACATGTTACTCTCTCTGGCTGCAAAAAAGCAATGGATCGCGTAACTGTCTTGTGCTGCTCAAACATGTCCGGAACATACAAGAGGAAGTTGCTGGTTATAGGAAAATGTGTCAAGCCTCGTTGCTTTGAGGGACTCAGAATGGACAGTTTATTAGTTGTGTATCGTGCGAACAGAAATGCATGGATGAGCTCTACACTTTTTAAAGAATGGGTGAAGGATTGGGACACAGAGCTACAACGCCAGTCGAGCAAAGTGTTGTTACTTCTCGACAATTGTGCAGCACATTCAAATGTGGATTTCTTGAAGAATATCCAGATGGAATTTCTGCCTCCCAAGACCACATCTTTGATCCAGCCAATGGACATGGGCATCATAAAAAATTTGAAGACCTTTTATCGTTCAAGGTTGGTGAATTACATCCTTGAATCAATTGAGGAAGGCTTGCTGACCTCATCCTCGACGGCCGGAGAAATCAGTGCAAATGTCAACATTTTGCAAGCCGTTACATTCGTAGCCAAATTTGGCGAAAAATGAGCAATGCGACAATTCGGAACGGTTTTTCTCACTGTGGCTTTAAGCATATTGTCTTGGAGATGGATGTGGATATGGTGATTGTAAATGAAAATGACGGCGAAAATGTGGAGCTGAAACAAGTTGAAAATTACGAAGAATTTTTGTCAATCGACAACGAACTTCAACTCTATGATGGAAATGAAGAATGCAATGCTGCCATTGTTGCTAGAATAGCAGCGAAACACACACCATGGAAGTGATGAAGAGAACCCTAACGTGTTGATGCCAGTCACAAAACAGGATGCAAGGAAATGTATTGAAACATTGCACCGTTATTTCATGCAGGAAGGAAATGAAGGTAGTCCTATTACAGCGTTACATGTTTGTAGTAATTTTGTGCAAATGCAGTCTGTTAAAAGAATGAGTCAAACCACACTGGATACGGTCTTCAAACGCTGAATGGAATTCGGTAATCCCCTCGTATAAAACTGTACTTCACATGCTGAATATCTTGTAGGTCGTTACGAAGAATTTGTTTGTAAATTTCTTTTTCAGTGAACAAACTCCGTTATCAAAGCAGTTCTTTTTTGTGTGTTTGCTATAAATATATGCTGCCAATACAAGTCATAATAGCAGTTTCCTATGTTATGTATAGCACGTCCCATCTTGTTACATCGGGTAACTTCGATTAATCGGACCAGCCGCTTAATAGTACAAAATGGTCTGGTCCCGATGTGGTCCAATTAACCGGAATCTAGTGTATTTACTTTGCGGTAATTGCTAGAGCAGCGTCATTGTGTGGGGGGGGGGGGGGGGGGGCGCCTATCGCTTTCTATTTTCACGGCGTTCAGACTCTTCGATACAATAGGCTGTGTTTCCTCGATTCAAGAGTGCGTTCGAGTTATGGCTATTATCGATCGGATTTCTGTTGCGAATTACTTGCGCGAAAAGGTGTATACCCAGGGGGGGGATGGGGTAGGGGGATATATAGTTATATATATAAAAATATGGGTACAGCACATACGTGCTCTAGTAAACTGAACACTACAGGCCGAGTCAGGGTCCTACAGTGTCTATCGAGTAGCCTTTTTCGTTCTACAGGTGGCGTTCACCTGCACGAATACGTGTGTACCAGGACATGATCAAAGTGAGCCTCACACGTTCTAATCTTGATTTCAGGTCATGGGAATCGAAAGCGGTTGATCGGCGTGTATGGCGGCGTCTCATCTCGAAGGCAGTTGCTGAAGTGTGGGAGAAAGCCCTCATGCATGCAGAGAAGAAGCGGCAAGCACCGATGGATTGTACTCCATCGACATCGAGTGCATGGAAGTTGTAGCACATGCGGTCGCGAGTGCCTGAGTCAGGCAGGCCTAGTGAGCCATGAGCGAGGCCACACGGGACCAGTATCGAAGCGACGATGGGTTCTGCAGAGAACGTAGGCGGAACCCGCGCAGCGTTTGTAGGTACGCTGCATTCGATTTACTAACCGCGTGCTTACATGCTAAATCTATTTATTTCATGTGGGGGGTTTTTAATTTTGCCCTAATGCTTTTCTTGCCCACATAAATGCCTAGTTATACTCTCTATCTGTACACTTGCACACGTCGCTTTAGCCACTTGTAGTTATTTCGATAACATTTTCGTGTTTGTAGCATTTCCGTAAAATAACCTCCTGATATCGTGAACTTACCTCGTATTCTTTTGTAAACAAACTTATTTCATATACTCATTAATTTAAGATTTATGTCACCGTTTGCTTGCGTGCTAAGTCTGTTTGTTTCAGGTGGTGAGTTTTCAATTTTGTCCAAATGCTTTGCTTTGTCATATAATTGTCTACCTGTACTCTCTTCTATAAAATTGCACACGTCACTTAAGCCAATTCTAGTAAATTTCGATAACATTTTTGTGTTCGATGCATTTCCGTAAAGTATACTTTCTGACCTCGTGAAGTTATCTCGCATTCTTCTGTAATCAACTTACTTCATATGCTCATTACTTTAAGGTATATGTCACCCTTTCCTTATGCATTACTCGATTTATTTTCTTTGTTATCTTTCTCTCAAGTAAGTGGCTGTTGCTTGATATCCCCGGTGTGGCTGCGCTTGATGTGCATGTTGACAAGGTGCCTACCTGTCTATTACCCACTACTTCGTCCATACTGGCTCCAGGAGACAGTTGGTCGTTGCTGGAGGGAACAAGGTGCACGGTCCTTGTGGCCGTGTTAGGATCAAAGCGTGGTTCCATGCAGTCAGTGTAGAGCGGACTACGGTCCAGCCACCTCCTTGTGTGCGCTTGATTTCCCAAATACAGCGTGCTTGTGTTTGCCTGTGAAGGAGTGTGGGCCGGCTCCGTTGATGAAACGTGGCTCCCATCCACATGTCTCCCGGTCTTATTCCTTCGGGTTTACACTGGATATGGGGTGTGTGGATGGAGCTGTGGGTGGTGCAGCGCAAACCACCCATGGTCCCTCTGTAGGCGCAGGCGTCCTGTGGCTTGCCACAGTGACAGGCAAATCCGAAACCTGATGCCGCCAGCCGTATATATATATATATATATATATATATATATATATATATATATATATATATATGCGCAGTCTGTCCTGTTGCTTTCTTTGTGTCCACAGTTGTCTGTTTGTATCAGCGAGTTATTCTCTATGTATCGTTCCATTTGCTGTTCAGCAGCAGACTATCAAGCCGCTTCAGCTTATCTAGTCTGTTAGTTCGATCCGACGAAGTTCATTTGGAATCAATGTTGCTTTGATTTTTTGTTTAGCTACTCGTCTTCAGGGCGGTGTTATTGCTTAATCGTTCTAATTTTTAAAGTTGAAATCTTCATGGCCCCTGGAATTAATTGTGTTCTGAAGAAGGTCATTTTCCTGTGGTAAACTTGCGACTCAGGACTCGGTAGTCGTCTATCCTCTACCTTCTCAGTATCATACCATTCTTTCTGTAGAGAATTTTGCGCATTTCGGATGACGGCTGGTGCAGCTTGGCCCGCTCAGTTGACCATATCGCTTTTATAATCGACCTGCGTAATCCTGACAATATTACTAATGGCAATGATAACATTAATGGGTGTTCTCTAACGCACGAAATCCATCCCATCTGTAATAATCGTGTTTTGAGAGCTGATTTTCAACTCATGTGATACAGGTTGCTAAGTGACATGCAAATACATTTTTCTGCTCTATTGTGACTTCTCGTGGGCACCACTTCTCACTGTGTTTGTCACCATCGTGCTGTCCATTGATGCTTGATTTCGAAGGTTATGGTTGGTGTTGCGCGAATCAGCTCTGTATGTACATTTGAGGAAGTTAAATATTCTTTAACTGAACCCCATTGACGGACAGTCCAGTGTCAAACAATGACTATCTGTGAGTGCCGACCGGCCTACGTTTTTGTACCTCAAGATTTGAAAATATTTAGGATGTAAGGAGCAACTACAAAAACGCTACTTTGTAGACATCGACATTACCTATGGTGCCTAATTTTACCCTTATATTTGCTCACAATTGATGGCTGCAGAAATGACGGTTGGAAAAGGGCGATGTTGTGTGACGCAGATTTGGTCTGTCTTTTCTTTACACCTCTCAAGTAGACGTTGGAGTGTTAAATTGGGCATACCCGAGTGAAATTGATTTAGCGAGTGTATTAGTGGGAATGTGACTCATTCTGTTTTCCGTGGTCAGCGCCCTTGGAGATTGGCTTAGGATTGATGCTAACGGGACTGAGTGGAACGTAGCAGAGGAATCATTTCCTTTCTCTGATTTATTGTTCGTAATGAAACGAAGGCCTCCAAATAGGTGTGGCTGAGTAGGGAAGAATACAACGCGGATCTGGAGAGTAGAGATAAGAACTCAGTTTACCTTTTTTCTCCTGCTCACATGTGGATATGGGAGACCCAGCACGGTCGTGACCGAGTAGAAACAGGTTTTAACAATGTTGCTAAGACGAGATGAAGACACGATTTGTGCTCCTTCATGATCTGCTGGCTGGCAGCCTTAAGTCACGAGCATGCTACGTACTCCAAGTGCGCGGGTTCGAGGCTGCCTAGGGGACCGGACGACCCTCGTAATATCCCTAGCCCACACACGACTGGTGGTGCTTTGCGTGGCAGCGTAGCGTCGGTGCTGCGTACCCGAGTACTGCTGATACCTTACTTTCCTCGTAATCTTCCATGTGAACTTTGAACCGTCTGCTCTGCTTCTGCAACGTTTCGGCTTTAGGCGTTGCGTTTTAAATACCATCGACAACCGCGACAGATAAAATTTGAAGTACAGTGCACCCCCTAAATATTCTGTTTTTTGTTCTTACCATATTGTGGTTCCCTTAACCGCGATTTACTGGTTGATTATTTTCAGCTTGACCTGGTTCATTATGTTTTTGGGTTCCAACCAACCAAAATCTCGCATTGCAGAGGCAAATCGACACATATCAGAACTTTGCAAAAGGGTATCCGAACTTGAAGAACAGTTGACGCATAAAGAAGCCGAATTGAAAGAAAAGGAGGAGAATTTCGCAATCGCTATGCAGGTAAGTGAGCTTAAGACGCCGGCCAGTCCCTTGACCTCGCTTTTGCAGGTGAATCTCTTTCGCATTACCGCCCTGGTTATCCGTGGGTCGGCGTCCCTTTATTTCGTGACTCAGTTCACTTCAGTGATTCATCTTCCACCCGGACACCGAAGTGTTTGAGCGTTACGTGCCATGACACACCACTGTGATAGAAACGAAACCAATCGGGATGGGAAAAGCAACTGGGTAGAACCGAATTTACGAGCATGAATCCAACGCGAAAGTCAGTGCGTAAACCGTAATTTTCGAGTGAAAATCCCGGCAGGAGTAAGCAAGATGTCGGATGCGAGTGCCTCACTGATCTCTCGGTTGGGTCACATTGGATAACATTTTTCACGCTTGATATTGCTGACTCGTCACAACGAATTCGGATCTTATTTTTACCTCGCGCTTGCATCCCTCCTTGGTCCATCGAACCGTACAAGTTACTACTGTTTGGCTCCTAGAGAACAACCACTTCTACTAGGTCCAGTTCTAGATTACCACGGGCGTGACACCACTCCGTTTTGTTGAAGTTGCACATGTCATGAGCGATTACCGCGTTCCCCATACCTTTCCACCATGCTTCTCTCGTCTAGGTTTGAACGCATTAGTGATATGCAACAAATCGGCATACAACCATCAGCCTTCAGTCTCGTCCTGCATCGATCGTCGCGTGCTTTTTAAACAACCACATCCACCGATCTTTACAACAGGATCGATAGATGAAAATAACTCATTGCGAATTATCCTCCCCTTACTTTCCTATCCATTGCTCTTACGCCCTCGTGGCTCTTTACTATGCTGCCTTCTGTAGTACTTAGCGGGAATAGCCACAGCTACAGTACTACTGGAGTCCTTTTATCGGCGCCTATATCTCCCCATTGCCCACTTACTTTTTGTCATTACCAATCACACACTGTGCAAGGCCACCCTGTTTCCCTGGCGATGTTCAACTTTCTTACCCTAAGACATGTGGGTCAGTAGCCTTCACTTGCGAGCATACTGGATGTTCACGATACATATCTGGAACTAGGATTCATGAATTTCACTTGGCTGACGAATTACCTGGATCTATTCAGGTTTAGATTTGTTCTCCGAGCCGAACTATTTCGTTGCAGACGTTTCATCACCAATCGACGTGACTTCGTCAGTACGTACTAAACAAAAATTGACCGATGTGAGAGTGATGTTTGAACTTGGCCACTTCGATTCACGTCCCGTGACCATTGCTAGTTTGCAGTTCGATCGCCGCCTCTTTTACACTCATGTTCTGCAATCGGTAGATCGGGTCTAAGTCAATGCGCAGGTTTATCGAGTTCTCCGTAGAAAACCATGCTTCGAGAAATTCTTTTCCTCTTCTTGTCTCTCCCTGCGCTAGGACCTCCGTCTTCTCCCCAGCAAACATGTGATCTTATCCACATGTTTCGAGACCAATGATGATGGATAATGGTTTCGACAGGCTCACTTGTGTTCTTGCAAACGTGTAGATAACTTTCTCCTTGTTTGGCCCACATAGAAGTTATCACAATTTTTACACTGTATCCTGTAGACAAGGTTCCGACGTTCATATGCTCCCGTCTTCCCCTTCGGTCTAGATAGGGTTGCTTTCAGAGTAGCGATTGGTATGTGAGCTAAAAGCGGGTGGTAAGGCTTAATGAGTCGAACAGTCATTCCCGATACGTTCTTGATGTAGGGCAAAGCGATCCGTTTCGTTGTTCTTGGTTCAGGTGTGGCATTTGTAGTCTCGTTGGTTATGTATCTTCGGATGAAATTGCGTGGATATCAATTTTTGCTGAGTACACGCTGACGAAGTCACCTCGATTGGTGATGAAACGTCTGCAACGAAATAGTTCGGCTCGGAGAACAAACCTAAACCTGAACAGACAACCCGAGCTACAGGTATTCCGCTTTATTGCTAATAGCTGGATCTAGCTTGTCCCCAGTCCAGTGGTTGCACCGATCCGGAGATACCGATGCATTCGTCGCAGATCAAGCTGGTGTATGCATTTCTCATCTCCGCGGTTACCTCTTCGTTAGTGAATTCATTTCCCGTAAACAGACTAAGCTTAGCGAATGCTACAGCGCTTGATGCTTCTCTTTCATGGTTGCCACATATACTCGAATCGACTGCACTGCTGTTACCACAAGTCGCACTTTATCAGGAACTAACCCACTGATTTGTAGTGTTACCAGCTCAGCTATCGCTCTAGGTGCGAGATATATCGAGGCGGAAGTAGATGGTCTAGTTGCAGCAGAAGTTAAAGTAGGTGGGCTGTTCGAGTTTTATTCCGATTGCTTGGATTATGCTAATCGTATGTTTCAACTATTCCTAAGCAGTGGTTCTTGCGTGCACACTGAGTGCGGATGTGCTATTTGGCATCTTTTGGTAGTTGGTCAGCGATGTCCCAAATGGACAATGTTACTTCACATTTCGGTCTTTGTGGTCCCATTCTTGGCTACTGTCGTTTTGGGATACATCACCGACCATAAATCGATTTTCCTTAAGCTCTCCGGGACACACATCAATGGTCTAGTTTTGGTAACTGTGAAATTGCCTCGCCCTTGCTTTTTTAGCTCTTATCTAACTTTTTGCGGAACATCGAATTTCGGATGCCATGCATGTTGCGGGAACCCGTGCTTACTACGGTACGGGTCATCGACACGCTGGACACTGAATGCCCAAAGGTTCACAAATTTGTTCGAAGGCCTGATGGACTCAGTGGGTTGCGGAAATTAATCGGGCCTGAACAACAGCCAAACTCCGAACCACTGATTCTAGGGGATCATCCGTCAGTGAGGTATTCGGGCCTAACATCGGTGCCTAAACTCACAGTGAAAAACACCCTTTAACTCACTGAGTGGATCACTTTGAGAAGCAATTCAGTTAACACCCCATCATCGATCCACTTCGAACCTAGGTGGTGCTGCTCGGTTAGTTTTGTGGTCCTACCTTGAACTGAGAATAAAATCGTGATCTCAGCCACTTGCACGCTGCAGATCCGGATTTCCTCATGATCTCACTTTTCAAAGATAATGATGAGTCGGTCTGCAAAGTATTACCACACGTGATTGGAAGGTCCTTCTTGAAGTATACGTGTGAATGGATTGCAACGCGCAATCTCAATGTGGACCGCGATTCCCATTGATGTGTGCTTTAGTAAATCGGTCACTGGGATCGTAACTGATGAACCAGATAGAACTTGGGTGTTGCCCGCCCGAAAGCACTACACGGGTTTCGGGCTTGTTTGCTCTCCTCAGCTGGAGATAGCAGGCATCGAACCCGGGACCATTGAGATGTTAGTTGTTACCGCTACCCATAAGCCACCGGGTCACGACGGGCAACGCTTGGCACAATGGTTAGTGACTGATTGGAGGGTCATTTTTGAAGTTTGATTCCTGTTATCTTTATCTGGTGAGATCAACTGACATCGAACCGCGTCTTGGAGTGCAGTGTTTTCGGGCGGGCAACACTTAATATCTATTACCACACTTGTTCGCGCATGTATGCAGGAAACAGATGATTTCCGCTAACTGGATCGAATCCTTTACGCTGGAAATTTTCTTGAAGAGCAATGTTTTCTTGTCTCCTAAGGTTTCGATTTTGGCATCTGGTTATTACAGCAAAACTCTTGAATCGCTAGCATATCGTTTGCTTCTTGATTTGCCCGCAGTATTTTGCGTCGATATTCGTTTGCCCTTGACTTCGAATGTCACGGTAACTCCGAACAGATGATCCCGCTTTACACTAGAAGAAGCTCTTCATTTCCAAACCTTTTTAAACTCATTTATATCTTCTACGAGGCACACGTTCTAATATCTGCATCGTCGGACACCTGTATACTGCGCAAAAATTTAGACCTAATATTGACCACGCTGCACTCTTCTTCAGCTGGGTTTCCCGTACTCACTTTTGCCAATCCTGATAACGCGGCAGTGTTTGTCCATTGTGGATTCGTTTCAAATGTCAATTGTATGAGTTCCAGTACACATTCTCAATATGGATCGGCATTAATGTGTTACAGTGAATCAGTTCGGTCATTGGGCCGATGCCTCATCTGAAGTAGGTGAATGTTGGTGGTGTGGCTCACTTGCAAGTGGGAAACCGGTCGTGTAGTGCAATTTTGCAAGTGAGCTACATCCATGGGGTATTTGTTTTAATTTAGGGTCCCAAACATTCTTTCCTACGGCCGGATTTTTTTCAACTGCAACCCTATGGAGGACACTCAAGCTGGATCTTTTTCTTGGATCATTTAGGCCGGTGTTCATGACTGCGGGCGATTTCTTTGCAACTTCAGACTATCAACTCTACATTGATATATGTTTCTTTTCCATGCCCAGTCATGTAGGGCTAGTTCTCGATTCTCTGGTTGAGTCAGTTTGCTTGGTTCCAACCCGATCCCCCTTCCCTGCAAGATTGGCCTCAGTTATACACACAAAATATACTTACTCTCCGTGCTGAGCGATGCAAACGGTTTTGTCTCGTTATACTCCATTCATCGGTTGCAGTAAGCAAGGCAAGGAACACCGTGATCTCCAGCGCAGGTTCAGTTGGTTGACCACATAGGACGAGGCGCTGATATTCTAACACCTGGCGTTGAGACGCTGGCGACGATTGTGCGCATGTTCCCCGACACTGAATAAGCATCTTCTGATCTAACAGTTTCAATGCAGTGGTCAATCCGAGCTGAGCTTGTTGCTACGTTACCTTTCCTCTATGGCTGATTCCTTATGTCGAGGGGGACAATATGTTCGCCGTTTTGTGTGGATCTCCCAATGGCCCCTTTTCGTCTTATTTGTTTGTGGAGTTGGTTTCTTCCCAGCCCGGTGGAGTTGTTACCCTTTTATGAAGTCTGATGCAACTACGAGTTAGTACATATTAGATATTTGAGTAAAAGCGAGTCCTAGTCGATAAATGGTACAAATAATTCAGCCGAAAACCAAAGTCTTGCTGTAATGGATGAGCTTACTTGCAAGAGCGTCTAAAAAACCATCATGATGACGACGTTACTCAGAGTCTGCACTATTTTGGGCTTTTATCTCTCTTGGAATCCCGTCGCATCCCGCATTTTGATAGCCAACTTGCGGATCCAATCGCGAGTCTGGCCACGACTGCCGTTTTGGTTTTTAGCCGTCTTATCCACCAGTACGTGGGCTATACCGCAACTTAGTTGTCCATTTAGATTGCAGGGCCCCTTTAGATTACTTGTCATAGTCACCTAGCAGTAAATGAATATGGGGCGTTGGTGTGGCATCCCCCAGCTCGCGTGACAGCGAAATGTAGGTACGGTGCACCAGCTTGCTGTTGATTCCTTCTTTGTTGCGAGACTGTATGTTATCCATGCACTCAATACACACAATGCATGAACTCAACTTGAAGAACCTTGTGCTCAAAGTGGGTTTTCTAGTACCCGCCGTGTGATCAGATTGCGACACGCAATCTCCATGGAGATCTTGGTCATTCCGATCACCAAGACCGTATCCGAGGTGGAGGGATGTCAGTGTTGGGAAGAGCACCACCAATTCGGATACGGTCCTTATGATGGCAATGACCGTGGTCTGAATGGAGATTGCATGTCGCAATCCAACCACTCAGCGGATACTCCGAATCCAACTTTGGATTCCTTACCGTTGTGCCAAGTTTTGCTCACGGATGTTAGAACTATAGTGATCAAGCTGTCAGCCTTTACCCACTAGGCCCGGAGTTTCACCCCAGCTCAGGATATCTCCATCTGATGAATCCTAAGGAGGAAGAAACCGGTTATAGGGTGTCAGGGTTAGGAGGCGCAACACTGAACCACCTCTAATCGGCACCAACTTTATTTGCGGTAACCTAATCTATACTTGCAATTAACTGAATCGATGTTATCTTCATATCTCTCGTCTCTATTATCTGCACTTCCTTCTCAAGCATTTGATTCGCCCATTCTAATTGCCTGGTTACCCTCTCTAACCCAAATCATGTTGTTTGATCATTCACAGGAAATTGGTGAGAAGCGTCGTCTGGAGCTGAAGGAGCTTAATGCTTTAATTTATCAACAAAATCTGAAATTGCAACATTATGAAAAGGATATGTCCGCTCGAGATTCGGAATTAACTGTTCTACGAAAGCGCTGCCGCATGTTCGATGAAGTACTTCGATACAAAGCCACCCTCGGAAAGCTAACGATCACGTTGGAGCAGGCCGAGCAGTACGCCTCTTTGACCAGCAATGCACGGGGCTATGCTCGAGGTTACCAAGCTGACCCCGAATGCGTGCATACCGATCCGGCTCCCCTTATGATCCGAGACGTCCCGACCAACAGCATGTGGGACGTCACGGAGTTGAATGGCGTCGCACCTCCGATCAACGGTGTGAGCGAGCCAAACTTACTTGCATTGTCGACAAATCAACTGCTGCCGTCTGGAAAAGGCTAATTCCATATCTGGATCCCCCCCCCCGCACCATTCCATTCTGATGTTGAGGTTCTTCCAAGCAACCGCACCAATATGCCTGTGTGTATATGGCTACCTGCGCACACAAAGGTTTCAGCGCCTTCTGTCAATCGTAAGCATACGCTCAACACAGCCCCACTTCCTGTGCCGCCTGCCTGCCTGCATTCAACGAGCCTCATGTATATGGCCTTATACTTCCCTCCGCTGTGATGTTTTATAATACCTTTGTTCATACTTTTATGGCTCATTATTGTCTCCTAGTGATCATTTTTGCGTTATTTCAGAGTACATGATGGCTCTTTCATTCTCTTTATCACCATATTTTCCGGAACTCTTTCTTAGGATAAGCTTATCGAATCAACCATGCTCCCTGTGTTGATAAACTTTTTTTCTCGACGATACGAGACACGCCTATCTCGACATGATCGAGTATGTGCACAGAACGTTGATCACAGGTAAACCTGGAAAATCACATCTCAAGTCAGCTACGGGCAATTAGGCTGGCAAGAAATAGATACTATACGCTTTACTGAGTTGAACCTATTTTGGCTGACTTTTGACTGTCCTCTCACATATAAAGCAGCTGTACCACGGGATATAGTATAATGGTGAAACATGCACTAGGTCATATATAACACCTAAACCCTGCTCGTACGCTTGGCTTATTGTTATATTATCAAATCCCTCTCTCATTCTTTCGGGTTCGAATTAGGCACATCCATGTTCTTACTTAATTTTTGATTATCGGGACTGTACATTGAGTCACGAACCCCAGTAGTTACATAAGCTCGTTTTATTTACACACCTGCCATCCGGACATCAAAGTGCGGGGACACCAATACCGCGGCTGACATCATTAGTTCAACTAATTCATCATTTTCACTCCTAATCAGCAGGCTTAGGATAGTCTGAAAAAGCACCAGATGCCGGCGTTTCGACCTTCTGGGCCTCGTCAGTGGTGCGCCTCCCAGCGGACCTCTGCCGGCTTCCGTCCCCATGACTTCAGAATACTAGCAGCTGGTGCCACTTCACCATGGGTGACAACCGCGGACCTGCGTGATTGACAGTTGACTATGCTATATCGCGGCTCATCTTCCACTGTCATGCAAGTTACGAACTGTGCAGATGACAATGGCTAGCCTCACGAGCTAGGACCCTCCGCATAGCGCCAATGCACCGCAGAGGACTTAGAAGCTATACGGACAGATTTTACAGTACTGATGAGTAGTGAGGATTTTTGGTATAATTCAGCTAGTTCATCATTGTCACTCCCATTCGGCAGGCTTAGGCTAGTCTGGAAAACCACCAGACGCCGGCGTTTCGACCTTCTGGGTCATTAGATTAACAGTGTTCTACAACCATGGACTGAATGAGCTGGAACGGAGTTAGAATACGACCGGAAGGGGCTAGGCAGTATAGCAAGTAATACATTAATCGGGTTGAAATGCAAACAGATAGGTACGCGAAATCGAATCACAGGAGCGCCATTGACCACAAACACTCGTTACCAAATAATTTTTTAATGACATTCTTATTCGCGATGGTTTGGATTGCAGCGCCCAATGTGAAGTGTTTGAAGCTCCAGAATGATTATCCAGTTAGCCTGCTTTTTCGCGATAAGTCGGTGTCCACATACTTACTCATCCAGTGATTTATTGGATGCTTATTGTCACGCAGCAGTTGTAAAAGAATGGAATCCATTGTCAACGCCGTTTGGTTATGGTTCTAGCGGGCATCCCTTACTCTTTCAGACGGGAAAGAATCAATGACTTGCTCAGGGCGCTGGACTGGCAAATTGGCCGCACATTTTCAAGTGTTTAGACCGTGGTATCAGTTCCACCGACTCATTCCACACCCACACAGCTAACAGGCGCGGTGGGTCTTGTGGTCCCGGCACACTACTCGAGCGTTTAGGAGTGCTTACACATTGACAGTGGAAATCTGTTCGTCGTACGTTCGCACGTGTCCAGCTCACAGAAACAAATGAGCATATAATCAACGGAGGAATAGACTAGCAAATACTGCTAACATTCATGTTCAACCCATAATTGGAACTTAACCCAGGTCAGTTGTCCTCTTAGGTTTTTCTTTCCTCTGACAGATGGGGAAGAGAATAGCATTAAATTCTTCTGTGCAGCTGACCTACATGAGCTCGTGTATTTGGCCCACGCGCGGACTTTGTGATCAAAGAGCTGGGGTGCTTGACGCATATTATATGCCACGGCAGCTTTCGATCGACGATCTGTTTACTACCATCTTTCCGGAACGCGTGTTTAAATTCCTAAATAGAGTATGGATGCCCAATTAATTAGTCTACTTGAAAAGCCATTGAGGCTTCGATACTTGGACAATAAGGACAGGGTGTTTTGTCCCCCCCCTAACGTTAAAAACAATGTTCAGATATAGATTCTCAAGCAAATTACTGTGGGAGTCACTATTATCTGAGGAAATGCTTACATGACCATAGATTATATATCAGGTAACATTTGCAGATTCCCCCTATCATTTGATGTTATACACCAACTTTACAGTGCTTTTCGAAGGTAGCTATCAACAGTACGCAATACCGATAAACCACCAACGCTCGCAGACACAAACCCGCGCCCTCGGATTACAAGGCAGGCTTACGATCTTTTAGGCTATCGCTCGGCGTGCTCTTCGAAGACGTTTTAATAACTCTCGAGCTAACGATTCGATTCACGGACCCACCGACTAAGTTCCACTTAGATCTCCTTTTCCCCGAGAGTTTAGATCATTCTTTGGAAGCGCAGTTCGGAATCAAGTTTTCCAACTAAATTGTCCTGGCATCGAAATTTGCTCGCTACAGTCCACCTTGTTTTCACCGTTGCTATGATAACAAGCAACTGAGCGAGAGAATAACAAAGCCAATGATAATGGTTCCACAAACTTCTTGCTCTTTGTTGACGCGGGTCATCAGGGCGCCGTTATTACGTCAAATGCGTTTTCTCGTAGCTTCTCTGGTTTATATGGTTGAACTTGAGTCTCCCACTCAGAAGGTTGTCCACATCAACTCGATCCAGTTTTGCGGTTTATCTCCTCGTGCTTCCATTTGTTCGCCCAGCTTAGCAAGTTGGTTGCAGACGTTCCGTCACCAGTCTAAGTGACATCATCAGTGCATAGGTTACTGCAACTTGGTCGCGAAAATCGTACCAGGCAAATCCAGGTATTGACCCATTTCTGAACGACTGAATCGTTAGCCTGAGGTGCCGGTATTCCGACAAAGTTAATCTCATGTTTTATTATCATGTCATCTGTTGCATTCCACTTAGTAAAAGTAAACTCGACTTTCATGCAGGTAGCCTACGGGCGTGTGACTCATGGCATAGTCAGAACACCTGTCAGCAAGCACCAGCTAACAGACCCCCTCGTTATTCACCTATGTCACCTCCACATATGTGAAGTTCTCAGAGCACTGATGGTCAATTTCCCATGAAATGGTACCGATAATATTATCTTAGGGGACTACCAACTATCAGGCTTCTGCATTCGAAGAGCCACTTTTCTCCTCTTCGGTTCCAGGTATAATCGGATACGCGTTTTGGTGACCGCTATCCCATGTGATCATTGTTATGCAACTTTCCAGGAACGGTAATTGCCGGATTGCGGACGACATCTATTGACCACAAAGCAACTTGTCACTCACTGTGCACATCACACGTGTGGTGTCTCGCCGACCAACGGTTCTATGGTATTCCAGCATAGCATGTCTTAAAACTAAGGCAAACTATTTTGCTCTTAGCGTGCTTGCCCCTTGGCATTGATCCCGCCAGTCTACAGCAGATGGAGCCATTTCATGCTATCGCTCCATTGTCTCAGTGCTGACCTCCGAAAGTTGCAGTGCCCCAATCTGCACGTAACCAGAAAAGTACAGCCAGCACTCCCACCATGATGTAACGCTGCGTTTGCTCTTCGGAGAATTGCGGTAAAGTCCTTACGATCAGGGTAACGTGTCATAAGTGCATTAGATACTTCCAACAAAATGTATAGGAAAATCCGTCCAAGAAGTGAAGCAGATAAACAAAGTTGTTGACGCATTTTGGTTTTGTCCAACATGTCAAGTCATTCTGCTGGTTAACTGTTTATGTTTGCTCCTGAGAAGTGCGATAGGTTGACTGAGACACTCGCACATTTTGGAGAATACTAAGATATGGCCACACTAATACCTCAACTAGCCAACTCAAGCTCTGTCTTCAGACCGCATAATAGGGCCAGACGCTGCAACCGCATTGCGACGTCCTTGTCTCTAGATCCTCTATCTCACCTCACTGCCATAAGCGAACAAGCTACAAACATGCCTACTTCCACTCCTTGCAACGGTGCAGCCCACATCGTCAGTGCCGATAATGGCAGCTCCGAGCCTGAGTTCGTCCACCATAGCGAAAAGCTGGACATCGTACGCATCAGTTGCCACTACGCAAACGCCGGATAAAACACCCCTGACTCAGGTAGCAGCACCGAGAAACATTAGGGTGACACAATTTCCACAACTAATCAAATCATTTAAAACGGTATCAAATAATACCCTCAAATCTGCATCCAAAAAATCACGGTGCTTTAACGACTGTGTGCAAAAAGGTTCTGGAATCGCAATCTAGTCTACCTGATCATGCCTCCATGGGCGTGCCTCTCATGTTCGAGAATAAAGTATTTTATAAAGGGGAAGCTGATGGACGACCGTAATCTGTGAAATTGCATTTGTGCTGCAATTGGCATTTCGGTTGAGCCCACGACACTGAGACGGGTCCCACGTCATCCATTACGGTAAACCTCGACTTCTCCAGGTGACACTAAGTTCCGCTGACTACACAGGCCGTCTTACTGTCTTCGATTTGACTCCTTAACTCATCGGCTGAGGTGCGCATACTTCCGCACATCCGTTGGAATGAACGTCCGAAAGAGAATAACAGCTACAAGAGGAACGGTCCCAGGCTGATGATGATGATGTTTCGGTCTGAATTAGTGACACCCTTTATATTGGAAAACTGGTCTAAATTCCGCGAGGCTGTGTACAGATATTCGGTTAAAGGCGCGTACACGGCCATGGGTGGCCAACGGACGTCCAAATTGGTGAATCTTCCCCCCCCCCCCTCCTCCCATACAGTTCTGTGTTGGGATTGATTTAATGGCAACCTCAGCATTTGACGGCATAGGACTAAACGCGGAGACTATCCGGGCTAGGGCAGCCAAGAGCGGTCGTGAAACCTAACCGAACTTCGAAGGCCAACTACTCAAAAAGCAGCCCGTGACCGGCCCCTCAGCGGTCGACACAATCTCCATTCTTAGTTCAACGTCCACTAACTCACTTTTGGTTACTGAGAAACTGACCTGCTTGTACACTAACGCGCAAGGCCTAATTATTAATTTGGTCTCACTCCGTCACCGTCAGGCTTCAGAGTCTCGAGAGATCATATTGACCACCGAAACGTCGCTGAGCTGTGTAATTACCGACGTTGAGATCCATCTACCCGGTA